GATAGTAAAAACGTTGTTCTTTCATCAAAAAATTAATTAGGAAGTTACAATTTATCGCGCGGTATAAAATTTAGAAAAATATACATTATGTAGAAGTATAGCGCATATTTTAATAATAAATGTATATGTGATGTGTTATCATATGTATTATTAATCGTATTAATTGGCAAAGCTGCATTTGATTGACTGTCGAATCGCCTCGTTCGACATGTCATCATCCCTCTCGATCCAAGCTCGGCGGGGATTAACTCGCGAGTCCCATACCTTCTTGTAACGCGATTGCTGCAGGGGCTGCGAATGCACGCAATCGTGGTTGCAAACAAGACGACCGGCTTGTTCACCGACGCGCCAGGATAAAATAGCAGATAAAATACATGGCTATGATACTAAAACATTTGTTATTTAATAGAGCAGAGGATTACAGCAATTTTTGAATGGTGAGAAAATTGAATTCTTAATATGTAATTTAAAAACCGTAAATTTAAAAGTTAATATTAATGGAGTTTTAAACATAAATTAACAGCTATATAAAAAACCTCTTTTGCCCAATTGATTATATATTTAATCTAATAATAATATTCATGAATGAACGAAATTAATGAATTTATTTCAAGAATTTAATTCCTTTAGAATAATATATGATTTAAATGACGAGAGCTTTTTATATTATTTTATTTAAGGTATAATATAAAATAAATCTAGAACTTGTGTGTAATTTAGAAATAATCTAAAATTAATAACAATATTGTTTTCATTATACTGATAGCTTGACAAAATCAAAGATTTTTTAAAGCTCATATTATTCCACATTTTGTTTTTCGACAAACCGGAAGTAGCTTTACTCTCATCGAAAGTTTCATATCCTATGAATTTTTGAAGAACTTTTGCAATTCAGAGCTCTCGGAAAGCTATCTCTCGAGTCGATTAAGAAAAAGTTCCACGATCTACGGCAAAGGGATCGCTGACCAAGGACACTTTAGTATCCTGACTAGAACGATACGCAGGAAGCAAGGCGTTGCGTCCGATGTTCCTGCGGGAACCGACGGAATCGATAGACGCGCAGGCGCTTCTGGTGCCAGGAATTGAGAGAACGAGAACGAGAAAGAGAGAGAGAGAAAGAGAGGTCCTCGGCGCCGTCCTCTATGCGGCGGAGGGAATCGGGAGGGCGAGTGGGATGTGGACCGACCGGCCTCCACGTTGAATCCCTCGCGGATCAGCATCCAGTGCTCGTATCACAACGACAGCCGCGATACCGCGTCCGTCCGCGCGTTCCCAACCGTCCGTTCCCCTCAATCTGTGCGTTGCGATCTAATTAATACTGCAGCAGCAACTATAGCTATAATAGCAACTGTAGACAGTATGGTTTAGATTGTAGCTCAAAGGCGATTTTTTTCACAAAACTGTTATTAATCGATCCCGATTGCTTTTGACTGCAAGAAAATTTTCTAACATAAAAAAGAAACAGAAAAAAGATATTTTTTACAATTTCAGACGTCTAGATATATTTATATACCGGAAGAAGTCTGTTATGAAAAGATTCACGAAAGCGATAGAAAATTATAATGAGTGCCATTATTAATAGAATAAAAAATAATGAGGCACTTGAATCAGTTCATTTTTTTTTTAAAGAAAAATTGCAAACAGTGCGGTGTTAGCAACACTGTCTTCGATTTTTTGGCAGTTTAGGTATTAATAGCGCTGTTATCTTGTTGCCCTTGGAAACACATGCTAATTTCTTAGAGTGTTGAAAGAGGGTGACCGCAGGACGGTACGTTCGGGCGTTTCGATCCGTCCAGAATCGAAATATGTCGAGTGTTAATGAAGCCGTCCACGTGCGACATCCGGGTGTCGATGAAGTCGCGCGAGATGGGAGCCAAGTGATCTTCCGCAAAGTTTGAGGGAATCGTTGAGCTTCCGCCACCTGCCAAATGGACAGGCTATTTCGATGGAAGAGCCATAAGGCTCAGGAAGATGTGAGTCCCACGGAATTTACACACTTGGCTATGCAAACCGCTGTGCGGCAATAAAAGCTCCCGAAGGATCCTGGCTGAAGTTTCACTGAAGTTAAACGACGCCTCGTTCTCACCTATTCCTGCTGAATAATATTGCGATAAATTGAAATCGATGCTTAGAAAATGAAATATTTAAAGCATTCAAAAAATGTCTTAACCTTCCGTGTGGTCCTCTTTCACGTTCTTCGTGGATTTTTCTATTATTCGACGAAATTCTTTAATTACACACCTTGTTAAAACTTTTCTTATTTATGACAATTACAACACTATAATAATACGTACAGATAATATTTTGTATCAGAAAACTCAAATTTATTGCTATTATAATACATTTACATGTATACAATTTTATTTATGTCGGAAGAAGGTTGGAATAAAGGTCAATGAGCCTTAAGATAAGGGCGCGATAAAATGTTACGGTTAAAATCTACCAAATATAGCTTTCATGTCGAGCTCGGTGTTCCGGGGTTTAATGCAACTATGCTGATAATACGGAATACGGGAATACGCACGAAACGAGACACGGGCGTAACGTCCGCGGGGTTTCGCGTTACAGGAAGAGCCGGCATTATCCGTGCGGATCTAATTGTTGCGTCGGTCGGCCGAATGATGGTTAACGGGTCGTTCACCACACCCACACCGAGTTCATCGCCGATACGGTACGAGTATCGGATAGGAAGCATCCAGCGAACGCGGACCGTGCGTGAATGCGGTAAAAAATTTGGAAGTTCGAGAGAGATCGCATCGGAAATAGTAATTCAATTTTTTGACGAAAGACATTAAAAAGTTTCTCTTCGTAATTCTTTTATAACTGTTTCTCATAAAGAAAGCTTTGTGAAATTTATGTATATATCAGTAACAAACGATCGTGATTAATAATTTGGAAAATTTAACCCAAAGAGTCTCTCTTTCCCTCTCGCTCTCTCAGTGCATCTCTATATTTTATGAATTACGTCAAGTACAATGCTGTTGCAAACCGCAGTTGAGGTCGTGTGGCACTGCGCGTGTAATTTGTAATAATATAATTTCGCGAATAATATATCTCTGCGGTCACATATTGGAACAAATATTCTATAACTGAAATAAAATATGCGACGAACACACACGTAGCTTCAGGGACATCTACACCTAGATGAACTCCCGGACTGCTAACTATAATTTCGCAACGCTCAGAGAACAATGAGTACTTGTGCATTCACGCTTCTATATCGCCGCTGTTTATAAATCCTTCTAGACAATTTACGGCGCGCCAGTTTCCTTTTGACATCAAGGTGGTCGTGCGGTCTATTTACATTGTATCGAGCTACCTAGTTCGCGCATTAAACTTCAGTGACCCAGTAGTGACCACCAGGTCGTTCACCATAACCCGTACCTCTCTAGGGTTATCGATGCGTGCCAGTCAGGTTGCCCATGTAAAAGCACGCGCGCGCGCACGATTATAGAAGGCACCTTATTCGTTGATCCTATCCTCAGAAGCTGAGGAGCAACGTTCTCCGCTCGTCGCTGGCATGATTTTATCGCGCAAAATGTTGAAAGGAAGAGGCTTAATCAACTTCGTATCACCGACTTAACGATAACACAAAGGCTACTTATTTTTATCTTACGGAAGCTGTTGTTAAAAATAAAGTTTCTGCCTCTAATAAGAGAGTTACTCGTAATAAAAGTACTAAAAGATTATAATAAGATCTAAAGTGGGACATTTTCCATAACAACATCAGTTTTGAGAATAAACGCTGCTCTTTTATTTTTATTAAAATGCGGAATATTTATGTTAGGTGTTTAAATACATGCATATATAAAAATTGCCGGACAGACGTATAACATATTATTACATGATTGGTGTAATCAACTAATTTCACTATTATATTGTTTAAAAAATTCATTGCAGGCACATTATCGCGAGGATATCAATAATTTACATTCCGAGCAGCCAGTTTCTTAAGATTAATTATCACGATTGGCAGGGACTAATTTCGAAACAGATTACATCGCGTCTCTCTTCTCTTCTTTCTCGATTAATCTTCTGATGATCTACAGTGAAAACCAGAACATATCACGGATGTTTTCTGTAATGGAAAATGTTCTGTATATTACTCGATATCGATGAAAAATAGGTTGCAAGTCAATGTCCATACATAAAAAAAATCAAATCTACGAATTTGATTATACTAACACTTTAATATGTTATACTAACGTTTCTATTATTTGTGCATAGTAAAATAATTCCGCAGCATATTAAAACTAAAAATTTAAAGAAAATTGAATACTTTTCTCTATAATATGCAAACAATGTATTTTTTCGTAATTAATAGTATAGCTCAACTATTTTGTTCTGTGGGAGAACGGAGAAAATTGCATGTATTACGAAGTTTCGTTGTGGGTGCTTCCGATTTTACAAATCTCATCCGCAATCGGGGATTGGAAACGTAAAAGGATTTCGAACGGATTACGGATCGACTTGGGTTTCTAAGGTCGAAGAAATGCCGGAGTTACTTCTCGGTGCGGATTCGATTTGAATATTACCTTTTTGCGTTACGTGACACCACGTTTTTCGTGGCTGGCAACTCAGATATTCAAGAATATATTAGCATGTCTGCTTTATCTAATCCACACACGAAGTTTGTACGTGTTAAAAGAAATTGAAATTGGTGTTGATCGTAAGAATAGAAAAGATAGCATATTTATAAAAGTTTTCTTATACATTCATAATTTATCTAAAAAAATACATTTACAATAATTGTGTAATTATTATAATATTATTGTTTCAATATTCGCGCAGTCTTACTATCTTACATTTACTATTAAATTTATTAAATCGTTTGGATAGAAATGAGACTATTAATCTTCTCTATCAACTCAGGAATCCTTTGAGAAGACAGATGGCTGCGACAGGTCGTTGCCCTTGTTTGCTTAACACGTTACAGCAAGCCGCATTCCTCAATTGCAATGGGAGTAAAGCTAACGTGTTTGCTATCTTTCGTGTTGCAGGGTCTTGACAATGTGAGCTCGGCGACCCTCAGGCCCTTTAACTCGGACATCAACACGCCGAGGATCGACAGCTACAGATTCTCCATGGCGAATCTCGAAGGTAAGCTCGCGTACCACTCGCTCGCGCACGAGTTTATCGACCTCGCTTTTCACCCAGAAAAGTCACTCGATCTGTCGGCGATCTTAACACGTGCCAGACTCGAGATGTTTCCCCGAGTGCGTGGGGCAAAAAAGTCGCTTTGAACGACGTGTGTCGACCACTCGAGGTCGTCCGGCCTGCCTGATGATTTTTCCCCGATTTTCCGCCGTTTTTCTTCTCTCCACATACGCCCGATTTTCCTCACCCCGTCAAGTAGAAATGATGGAATCTCGCTGACGTTCCCTCTCAATCGATCGGCAGCTCCTCTCGCGATCTCGTCGCCCCGGATACACGCGCGTTCTAGTTCTATCGTTCGTTCCTCCTCGATTTCGCAAAGGCAGGAAGCGGCCGTCTCCCGTGGTGCGTGAATTTTTCAGGCGCTTCCTGTGCGGCTCTCTCCTGCGCGGCCCCTACGCGGATTTCGCTCCGTCGCGTCGAGACATTAATCGCATGACAAAGATCGATCGGCGAGACGGCTAACGAGACGCGATACATATCTCCTTGTCGCAATAATTTATTTCGGCCATTTATTTCCGATTTAGGCGGCCACTACCGGGGCTCGACTCTATGCCGCCTCTTGGTCGATTGACTGCTGCTTTCTCGAGCGGTAGGAAATTAATTTGCGGTCGACTTTGATCGTCCATATGATCCAATACGTTCCTTTGAGGTATTTCCAGTTCCGATAATAACATTCACCCGATTGTTCATTTGGAAAATAATTTGAGCTCACGCGAACTGAATATTCTCTGTAATATCTTGCATTTATACACAAATATAACCACGATATTAAATAAAACGTGTATACATATTTTGTTTGACTTTTATATCAGATATTTATGAATATTCTGCTTTATGCACCTCATAGTGATCGTTATGAATATTGCCCTCTCATTATACACGCCGTTACAGTCACGATTCTCCCTCTCGGTCTCTGTTCTCATACCTTATACCCTCGCCCACTCACGCATACGAGTATAACTGCGCGAAACGCGATTATAAGCGCGGAGGAACGGGCGGGCCGGCTCGCGCCGGAAGATTCTCGAAAGAGCGTGCGTGCGATGGCCACAGCGATCTCTCTTCATCTCTTCATCTCTCCATCGTTGCTGCCGCCTGCAAGCTCTCCACTCGACTCGCTCGATGCAGAACCTGGGGGCGGACAATCGATACGGTGATATATTGTTGTTGCGCGATGCAAAGATCGAGTTATATATAATGCGGCAAATTTATCGTAGAGGTGGGATTATTATTTTTGCCTCCCCGGCTAATGATTCATCTGGGAACTGTCGGCCCCTAAGCGAGACACGCGTATGGCCTTAGTATTTCACACATTGTACGATAGAGGTGCTCATCAGCCGTTCTCGCATTAAACATTTGGGAGCTTACACTAATACGCTGAGCTGCAATTCTATTTATATATCCAGAATTTGTATAAAATTTAATTAACTCCGTTTTTTCACCGAATAATTTATCTTCGCAAATTTGCAATTTAAATAATAAAAATATCTGGTGAAAATTGACCTATTTCTCTGGTGTACATGCCACAAAAAAAGGATTTATAATGTTATTATATAAAATTAAACTTTAATCTACTAAAATAAGAAAAATTAGATATTTTTTCTATCAAGAAATTATAAATATACCTATTATGAAATAAATTTGCTGAAAAGTTAATTATGAATAAAAATTGGAGTTTTATATTTAAAAGTTTCAGAAGTTTGTAAATTGCAACGTTCTTGTTTCTCAAGAAATATTCTTGTCTCTGACGATTTGAGAGCTGCTGACGGTCGGTAGATCGTAAAGCACGATGAAACAAACCCCTACCCCAAGCCATCGGAATTCTCGTTACGGTATTTTCAGGGCGTGATGCTCGGGTTTCACGATGCGTGAAAAATCCTGAGACGTGCATTCAATTACGGCCACGCGCCTTGCCGCACGTGGAATACTTAATCGATCATCTCCCGCATTAAAATAGCACGCCAGACGGGCGTCGCTTCAATCCGCGCTGCGAAACTACGATGTCTTTCCTATTTTTGCGATTCGTTTACTAATATTGTGAGGTCCATCTCTCTATTAAAAAAATATTTGCGTTCAGTTTTATCCAAATATTTCGTATATCTATCAGAGAACAATTATTTTATATGTTGAACAAAAATAAAAATGTCATCAACCTGAGGCAAGCAGATGCATCGCGCGGATTTCAAATACGAAATTTCGCTCGTCGTTCTTTATGGTCTCCATCGTGGACGGTGCTTTCGCAAGCTCGAAGAGAACATTCTTCCGCTCCACCTTGCCATCGTTAAACCGATATTGCAAGCCCGTGCATCCTGGGTGAGCAACACCGAGTCTAGACGGCCGGGATCCACCGGCAATATTCTCTCGCGAGTGCCATCCTTAAATCACGGCGTATCGACGCGAAGTCACGCGCGCACAATAAAGCGCCCGTAAAGCGCAACATTACGATTACGGTAGCACCGGCGCGGCGAATCGAAGAGACGAGATCGCGCAGACGATCGTAAAGCGTCGTCGAAGGGTGCGAAATCCTAACGACCGTTCGCTCGCGATAGAAAATCCGAAGGATCTAGCGTGATGTGATTGCATTGTCGCGCGGTTTTACGCAAAATCTGAGAAATTAGCGTTGGAACAGATTTTCCCGCTGTCTAAAATCCGACTTTCCTTCAAGTTTGAAATTGGTCGGGAAACGAAGTTTCAGCGAAGATTTAGTTATCAGGCGAGTTCCACCGGCACCACCGACCGTATTAAATCGTTTTAATTGCAACGTGGAATTTTAATTCCGATTGTTGCGAAGATACATACAATCGGCACGAGCGTATCGCGTGCGACTTCGCGAAGTGATACGACGGAACGAAGCCGGCCACGTAACGTCGTTAAATTAATGGTAATGCGTGCATTAGCGTAATCGGATCTCAATCTATTTGCCAGAGTTTTGACCGTCGTTAGGGAGAGAATATCAATAAGGCGTCGGGCACGGGCGCGGGCTAGTGGTACGAATCGTCGACAAAGTGAACGACGCCGCGCCGTGTCGGGAAACGAGGTGGGAATGTTTAATGCATTACTGGGGCCATTCACGGTTCCTTTTCGCTGGTTTTACCTCGGGCGCAGCCCGGGGGTTTTATTACTCGTGCACGTTTCAACGTTTCCTCTCTCGGACGGCCGTATGAAACCGCTGCGCATTCCGCGGCCGCGCTATGTTAACTGCCGGCCGTTAACTCGCGCTTTTAACGCTCGCCTCTATAAAAATTCAATTTGCACCGTTTATCAATACCTAAAAATGATTGTTGCAAAATTTGCTGCGAAATTTCTCCTTTTTTTTTTAAATCTGCAGTAGAATTCATTTTATATCTCTCGTTATTAATTAATTAATTGAATGAATTTTAAACGATATATTTTCCAGGTTTTCCAGCCTCTACTCGGTAACTCGAATTCAAGCGCGACAAGTAATTTATTCGCGCAGAAAGACTTAATTATCCGTTAAACGCGCTAACAGTAATTTATGCGGTGTGCTGCGCGGAATATTTAATTATTTATGAGGCTTCGCCGAGAGTATCAATGGCCACAAAGCTGGCGGAGTGCATCACCGACAAAAAAAAGGAAAAGAAAAATTAAATCCAGAATGAGGTAGGAATAGGAAACGGTTATCTTGAATTATGCGAAGATAATGAGATAGCAGTCTCTGATCGTAAAAGTAGGCAAAGTGTGTCGGTTAAGTAAGTTAGTCAATTCATTAAAATCTCTTGTCCATTATGCAATGTTTTTCCACCATATCTTTTTCTCTTTATATATTTATCGCCATTATTATAAGATATCTTCGTTATAATTATTTTACTTGCTCGACGTTATAAAATTCCTGCTGAATACCAATAACAAAATTAATATAACAGCGAATTTTAATTGAACTCTCCTTCAAGAATGCAAAGGATTGCGCTTCCTTACAATTTTCTTCGTCGTCTATGGCTCGACATTTGAAATTCATGCTGAAATTATAGATCTCTAATAAGCAGCTTCACTCACCCAGCTAACCATCTTGTTCGCTCGATTATTCCACGGAGATTCACGATTCTGTCTCGGTGCTCCGTAATTTTATACGTCGCTTGCGATCGCCATTGAAACGACCCGCTGTTTCATCTCGCACAGTCGTGTTGAGCGCAACCGGATGTTATTTTAACGGCTCCTGCCGATTTGCAGGAATTCGTAGGATAGAAACGACCGTTGTTGTTAACGGGATCAATGTCGACGGACGCATCAATCCTCCTCGCTCGCCCATAAATCATCATATCGGACTGTCAAACGTCTCCGATCTCATTCGAGCGTAGGGTATTCAACGCGATGATAATTCTCGTCGATTGAACGCGATGCTGCTAGAGGCGTTTGATGAAACTAATTTTGAAATATAATCCTTCTTATTACTTGCTATTTCTTATAGAATTTTTGTTATTTATACTTTATAACATAAAAGAATTAATATTATAATAAATTAATTTAAATTTTTAAGTATAAGATCTATTAATGAATTGAATAATCGATTTTATATTCCGATTTTGTATTACACGAATTTTTAAATTAATTTTGCATATACATAATTTTATAATTAATAAAGTCTACGCTTCTTATTTCGAGCGATGACAGAATATCTTAAAATTTACACAAATATTTCTTACGCCAATGAACGATATAGATGAGCAGAAAACATTAATATATAATGAGATGAGCGTAAATAAGTCACAAATAGATTTATAAGACCCAGAGCGGATGGCATGAAAATTATAGGCGAGTCAGAGAATGTCATTGCCTCGTTTGACATCCCTACTAATGTTCCCATTTAATGTCATCTCTCTTTAAGCCACCCCCGCATCATCCGCTTCCTTGTGCAGCTCACTGAATATTCACCGAGACTTTCCGTCTTCTCTCCTCCTTTCGTTCTTTCCTTCTCGCTTCCTTTGTAT